ACCTGGAAATCAAACTAGTTATGAAGGACTGTTGCAAAAGTGTAGTACATAGTGTGCAGGGTTGCCATGAATTGTGCAGTGAATGTAAAAATACATGGAGGAGCTAAACAGATATCAGCACAATTTTATTGTTGCTATAAAACCAATAGCTCCTTGATAAATGAAATAATTCCTTTCCATTGAAGAAAGCGGAAAAAATACTATAATTCCCTTTGTAAAAGGGAATACTCCATACACACTGGCTGGCCTCTGACCTCTGTTGTGAAAGTAGACTTGATATAACTAGTTTAGGTATCTAAATATTTCAATTCCCTACATTTCATTTCATTTCATTATTTCATTTCATTTCATTTCATTTCATTATTTCATTTCATTTCATTTCATTTCAATCCCTACATTTTTATTTATAGGAAAACACCAAATTAAACTGAGCTATAAGCATAACTACCTCTCTTCTGCTTTTTAACATATATATGAACCTAATTTACCAGATCTATTCTTTTCAAAATGTACATTAAAAAAAAGTAGTACTGTTTTAAAAATTGTATATTCTATGAAGATTGCACATACTCAAAAAGAGAAGATTTCAGCAGGCTTATGAGAAACCAGTCCTTTGCAAATAAACAAAATAATTGAAAGAACATCCTTAAAAACATAACCAAATGAGGACCGAACTTATTAAACTACAGTATCATATAATGCAGAGGGTCTGTTAGACTAGAAAAGGGTGTATCTGAGCTACTGGCCAACATCTGAATTCTGCATTTTCTTCTTTTTGCATGTAGACATGCAAAAATAGCCTGATGCTGAGCCTTTCCTGAGCATTGAGATTTACTTTCAAAATCATCAGTTTCTGCATAATAATTCTAAATAAATAGATTACCCACCCTAAAAGGTCCCACAAGCCACTAATTTACCATTACAGTGGACATGCAAGTCCAATTAATTTGATATTTACCCTGTGGTAAGATGGGCTACCAATAAATAAAAAAATATATGCACTTGATAAATACCATAAATATTTCTAACAGCAGCATTCAGGATTTCAGAGTTTGAAATCTAGTATGGTGGAAGCTGGAGTGCCACACTGAGCCAATCTCTCACACATCTTCTTTGGAAAGAAAACTTGGTCTGTTTTGAACAGACCTGAAAAAGGGTTTTCACACTTTTGTTCTTTTGGCAAGATGAGTGCTCGGCAGCAGTTGGGAGAATGGAAAGCTCATTGCTAGAAGTTTGACAGAAATATTAAACTATAATATTTATAATATAATATAAATAATATAATATAATATAAACTAATAAAGCAAGATATAGGCCACTTAGAATTGGGTTCAATTGTTAACTCCTCTGTCATAATAGCCAAGTTTACACATTGGACTATAAACTACCATGTTTCCCTGAAAATAAGACCCTGTCTTATATTTTTTTGAACCCTGAAATAAGTGCTTGGCCTTATTGCCATGTTCTCAAAAACTCAATTGGGCTTATTATCAGGGGTTGTCTTATTTGGGGGGGGAAACAGGGTAGTTAGTCAAATTCATACATCATGCAACTAAGTTTGCTTGCTTTAGATTGTGAGAATCCTGCTATTGTGCTACATTGTATGAACCCAGATAATTGTGATTAATTCAATAAACCTAAACTGTTTAGCATGATGTATAAACCCTGTCATATCAGCTTGATTCACAGAACACTAAATCAGAAACCATGATTTATAATACCTAACAGCTAAAGTACACGTTGTATTAAGGCAAAATGTAACAAATCACAATATGACTTAACCGTGCTATGCAGATCAAGATAATGATTTACTTTGGAACAGATTAAACTGCTTCACAAGGCTTTGGGGGAGGATATCATTGGAAGAAAAAATATATCACAATCACTTTAGAAGAATGGTAGGATTAAAAAAATGAATAAATTTAGCAGTTTACTTCCACACACTTGGCAACATTTCGTGGTTGAAAAATCAAAGGTAAACATGGTTCTCAGCCATCTTGGTCTTGCAGTCTTCTGTTAGACTGAAGTTAGTTAGACTGAAGTAAATGCAGCAAGATCATAGATTCTTGCCTACTACAAAAACCTATGGATATTTAATAAATACAGTATTAGACAATATTTTGGAATTGGAAAGAACTGGCTTCTCAACAAACTATGTTATTGTTTACAAGGTAAGAAATCTGGAGAGTGTGAGCTTTGTCATCTTCTTTCTAACATGACAATTCATTCTGGGAATTGTGAATCACAGCATTTTGCCTTAAATAGAAAAGAAAGCAACTGGAGATTTGCCTTATTCAGCTATGCAGTTGCATTGGCCCAGTAATTTTTCCTGGCTCTGCGCTGGCTTTTAACTCCTCCGTAAGGTGTCCTCTGATGACCTTCATATAATATTGATGGAACTGGTGTGTGTGTACATAAATCCATATGTATTGATTCCATATGCATGTACACTACTTTCAAGTTTTTGCTATTTTCTTTGGTTATTTGCATCTCTAAAGTACTTTTCCCTCTAATCTTTCAAGATTTGTGAAAATAAGAAACGAAATATTTTCTGTACTATAAATAAATCTTTAAAGATTTTCCTCAGAAAACCACTCCTAAGGCCACCTTACATAGTATTATAGTATGTAAGGTATAGTATAGTATATAGACATAGTATAATCCTTTTACAGAAAAGTATAATCCTTTTCTTGTACTTTTAGGTACTGGTATGTATATTTTTCATCTTTGGGGGAAGATTTTGAGAGGAGAGCTAATTGAAAATGGCTGCAGTAGAAGGTCCTTAATTCATTGTGTGAACACGAGTAAGTGGAGGAAAGTTATGGGCACACAAGTTGAACACTGCAAATAATTGAAGCTATGAAATCTCTAATGAACTTCTTTTTCTCTTCAAAAAAGGATTATGGCAGATTGCCCTAGGAATTATAAGCATGCAAAACAAAATCCCAGAATCACTAGAACTTTACCTGGATCTTACCAACATACTCTTCATGCGAATGTTTTGCTTCCTTTGTTACATTCTTACTTTAAATTGGTCGATGATAATAACAAAGATGTAATTTGGAAACAAAGCAGTACATAGCTTCAACAAGTTAAAGCACAAAAGAGGTTTGAGATCCACCCTCATCACAATTGTCTGAAGCTAGTATAACTGTTGTGGCTCCTGAAAGAAGCTCAGGCATTATAATTTTCAGAGGTGTTGAAAATTCATTAGAAAGCTTTGGAGTCCTTCCAAATTGAGTTTCTACTGCTAATAATAATTTTGAGATTATTATCCAGTGATTTTGTCTTTCCTAAGTTTTCTTTGGTAAGAAAAAAATGTGAAGAAAACTCTGGGAAGGCATGGGTGGGTTTTGCAAAAATGATATTCCCATTCGTCTCAGTAAATTCTGTGCAATTAGGGTAATTGGCCAATGAAAAGCTCATTTGTTAATACCTCTACTTTCTGTAAGGAAATTCCTGCCTCAGAGCTTTGAGAAGCTACACAAAATTGAATCCCACTTGTAAAGAATAGATGTGTGATATCTTTTATAAAACCAGGACCAGCTTAATTGTTGTCTACTTCATCACACTCAGGAAGAGAGAACAGTCTTCGTTTTTGGACAAAGCTAGATTCCTGTGCGAAGTGCAAAAGTTCCTCAGAGGTTTTATCCCAAAAATGGTGATGTATCATTTCAGTTTTTGCTCATGCAGGGAACTAGTCCAGTCTTGCTCAGTGTTTTCAACATGGAAATGTCCCTTAAATTGCACCACTTAAAAGTAATTGCCTTACATGCTATAAACCTGAGCTGGCTTTGTGTATGTGCAACTCTGTCAGAGCCATTGTGTATGCTTTTTCTGTACACAAAAGCCCATACATTTAGGGGAGACAGCTTACTCCACCTAATGATGAACCCTTTTTAATTTGATCCAGGGTCAATAGATATAGTTTATTTGGCACCTTTAACAACCTGGTGCTTGATAACAATTAGATCAAATCCATTTTTATGATCTGGAACAGTGCACACGTGGGCAATAAAGAATCAAGTAGGGGAAAAAGTTTCGCCATATTCAGGAGAGGTTGAGAGTTTGGCCTGATCGGAAATGGCAAACAATGGCTTTGGAATATGCTGCATTCTCATTGCTGGGAGTCCCTTTGGAAGAGGAGTCTCTTGTGCGCCTGGTTTTGTGTGGTGAAATACCCTGGCATCTATTATTTGCCTCCTCTGGGGAAAAAGTACTGCAAACATAAGGATCATGCGAGCTACTACCGATTACTTTATATGGCATGTTTTCTGACTTTGGAATGCTGTACTGTACCAAAGTCTTAATTCTATCTGGGCCACTTCCCAGACTGCCCACACATCAGATTAAGCTATTCTACCCAGGGAGTGGATAAGATGGACTGTGGAAACAATCTCCCCAATTTCAAATCCTTCCCCCTCGAGTTTGCTTTCTTGCGTTTAGGTATTACTGTACAATGTCGCCTTTAAAAAAAAAAAGAAACAGCTTACAGATGGTTTAAAAGTCAGTCAACGCAGAGATCTTCACTCCTCAGTTGTGTGAAGCAACAAGTATCTCCTGAGCATATGTAAAGTTTCTGTTTCCCTCCAGAAAGAGCCCTCCTCACCCCCCCCACCCCAAACATTTCCAGGCGTTCTCTATTTTCCTGCGTTCAAATACGGCAACCCTAATTTACATCCCGCCGACTTGGAAAGGGAGCAGCCACAATTTCCTGGGCTTGTTTCTTCCCAAGAAAGGTTTTTCAAGACCCGGCTAGCAGCCGAATGTCAACGGGGCGCGCCCCACCTCTCCACCAAAAGGGGAATCGCTTTTCTTGCTTATCCAGTCCCACAATCGCCGGGCTTGGAAGTCACCGGCGGCGCCCGCGGCCGCGCCCTCCCCGGCGACATCACCCCCAGCAGCGACTCCAGGGGGAGCCTTCGCGCCGAGGAGGCGCTTGCTTCCCACCGCCGCGCATGCGCTCTCTTACCAAAAGGCGCTCAGGGGGCTTGGCTGAACGCTGAGCAGGCGGGGCTCTCCTATCCCGGCCGGAGAGGAGCGCGAGGTATATATATCTATATAAAGGCTCGCTCTCGTCTGCGCGGCGGCGAGCGCGCTGGAGCATTTAGCGGCCCCCTCCGTGAGAGCCGAGGCAGGGGAGACTGCCGTGCGCGGGCCCTGCAAGGTAGGTAGCCCACTTTATGGGGGAGACGGGAAGGCGGTAGATTAGATTTGGCCTTTTCTGGGGGAGCCTTAAGGCTGCTGTAGCCTCGGGAAGGGGAGGGTGGAGAGCCTGGCCACTGAACTAACTACCGGGACGTGACTTGGGTCTCCGTTGTAGCCCGGATCGCGCCGTAGCGGTGCAAAGCGACCGTCCTTGAGCAAACGGCGGTGGGTCCCCGTTTGCTTTCCTGGGCTTTCTCGCACCTCCTTTCCCCACCCCGCATCTTAAGCGCGTGTCCCGGAGGTGGAAAGAGCCGGGGCACCAAGTAAGTCATCCAGAGACTATCCGTCCCGTCCCCCCCACCCCAGTCCCGTTTCTATCTTGCCGCCGAGGGCCAGACGCGATGCAAAGCGCCGCGTAGCCTCGGCGCCCCGAGTCCGGGTTGCTGCGACACTGTCTGGGGATGTTTGCGCGGCCCTTGTGGCGTCTGCTGCGATGGGCAGGAGCTTTTTTTTACCTCCTTGGATTGTTACCGGCTTTCCCGGCTTCCTGTGCCGGATCGGAACGCCCCGTTTTCTGGGAGTCAGCGGGGTTGCAGACTCCTCTCAATCGGGGAAGGGAACCCGGGCTGCTGCAAAGTGGCATCAGGAGCTTTTCGTGAAGGAGGAAACATGAACATTATTAGCCTCCCCTGGAATTTAACTATTCCGGTCTTTTGGACTACATCCTTCGCCCCAGCCAACGATGCCATTGGTTAGGGATGGTGAGAGTTTTGTTACCCAATGCATCTGGGCTGTTCCAAGGTGTGGGAAGTCTCCTGTGTACAGTAGTATTGCCTCCTAGTAAATGGACCTTTCCGCGTTGTCATTTATATTACAGTATCTTTGAGCTCAACTTAATACAGTATTGTAACATTTAGGAGAACCCAGCTCCAGGTGAGCTGTGGATAGTGTGGCTTTTGTAGTGGGCCTGAGCTGGGATGCTATTAAGATGGTAAAGCATAGCACTTCTCTGTCATTTTAACTATAGGACTTTTTTTTAGAAAAAAAAATCTGATGGTGAATGGATTTGGAAGGGATGTTGTGATAAATAGCCCCCTCTACACAAACAGTATATCTTTGAAAACAAGACAGTAGGAAAATTCCTAGTTGTTCTTTAATGGAGTTTTAGAAAGTTTTGCCCACGATGGAGAAATAGAATTCTGAACAAAATGATCTTTTGATCTTATCTAGTGAGGTTCTTGTTTGGATAGCTTAAAAAATTGTTTTGTCAGGGGAACAAATAAACTAAATGGCATACATATCATATATGTGTGTTTCTTTCTTACTCTATGACATCAGCCTGTGATGTAAAGGGACCTCCTAACCAAAACAAAGTTCAGTTCCCATGTGTCAAAATTCTTTCTTAATTTTAAGGAAAGTGTGGTTGATCAGGGCTATTGCATTATTAAGTCATTTATCTTAAACAGCAAGATTAATGAGGAAAAAGATTTCCAAAGAGGATTGGGATTAATACTCCCTGGCTATTGCTCATCTGGTTCTTTCCATTTGGGAGAACTGCCAGCTGAATCCACATAATGAATAAACTTCTTCTGGAGAAGTGCAGGGTTAAAGAGGGAGAAAGGAAGCCTAGTCATTCTCCATTGCTCTCCACTCCAAAGTGACCTTACTCTGAAAAGATGAAAGTTCTGACATTTGCAAACATTAGGGATTTTAAACATGCTATCTCCTGGGACAGAACTTGCCTCCTTGAAGTTGAGAGATTTGTGTGCAAAACAAACAAAAATCCATTGGGTCACTCAGCTAGGTAATGAAATAAGAGATATGTTTTTCTTTCCCAAAGTGAAGGGGGAAAGTAGGAAGGGATATTTCTTTTTTTACTTTGAAAAGTTTTATTACAGAGGAGTATTTTTGTGTTAAACTTTGCAAGGGAGTTGAAGGCTATTTATTAAAAACTAAAATTCAATAGACTTTTTCTTTAGTGCTGGTAAATATATGGAAAAAATATCTGCCTTTTTTTTACAGTGGACTCCAGCATTGCGGAGTGATTTTACTTTCAAGACAGTACAGTAGTGCTTGAGTAATTTTACCTTTCTCTTCTGCTTCAAGGCAGAAGCCTCTCCTTATTCCCTACTTTTTAGTTAATGTCTGTCGGTGGATTGATTAGCTTTCCAGTTTAGGTTTGATTTCTGCTTTAGGATCCTCCGATCATTAGGGATTCTAATGGGGATCAAGAAGGGGAAGCAAAGCAAGTGATGAAATGTGTGACTGACCTCATGAAATGAACTCTCTGACTTATTTATGTGCTGTATGTCTGATGGGACAGAGTTTATCTCATGATATTGGTATGTGTGTTACCCATTTCCTTGTCAGAGTGGTTGGTTACCTGTAGATGCTATGCTATGGTCAACTTCCTTGGTGCAGCTCTTGGTGCTCTTTGAGCTTGGTTGTTTGCTTTCAGAAGTTTCCTTACCTAACTAAGTAACATCATCAATGCAAGTCATATTTGGGCAATGAAATTGTTTGTTCAATGAAACAACCAAGCTCAGAGAGCGCCAAGAATTCCACAGTTCAGTCCAGAGTTACAGATATTCTCTTATATTGGAACTTCCTTCATGCCTATCAATTACTCTGCCTTGCCTGACTTAAGTTTTTGAAAAATTCTAAATTTAAAGCACAGGGATGGGCAATCTTTCAATGGCTCGGGACATTTGGGAAGGCTATAGGGGGACACAGCCTGGAATTCAATCTTGACCAGGTCTTCCATCCTTCTGAGGTCAGTAAAATGAGGACACAGATTGTTGGGGGCAATATGCTGACATTGTTAACTACTCAGTGTATGCTGTAAAGCACTATGGAGCAGTATGTAAGTCTAAGTGCTATTGCTATTCAGCCACAGTGCACTTGGGGTGGGAATTTTGCAGAATCATGGTCAGAGGAGATTCCACGTTGTTTGTAACTCTAAGACTATAGGCCTAAGCATGTATTAAATATATTATGGTCATCTACTCGAGTGGCTGACAATATTGAGATATATAATTAAAACTAAATTAAAGATATATGTTGTAAGCCACTGTGACACCAAAATGATAACCTGTGTCATAATATCATCACAGACAAAATTATGTGCTTGCATCATGAGGTCTTCTGAGGTATCTCAGTCATATCATTTGCATTATTATGTTACGACACCTTTGTCATAATTTGTTCTCTCATAGATTCTTGTGTCTGCAGTGTGTCCACAATTGCTTTAGCGTTATTTTTTTACTTACAGAAGACCTTACAGATAGAAAATAAAAATGGTGGATGGTTACACAGCCCATTCTTCTTTATAATAACCAGCTCAGAAAAAAAGGCAAAAATAAATTGGGTTGTGGAAAGCATCCATTTGGGAATGAGATTGTGGAAGTAAATTCGTCAGTTTACTTTTCGATAAATTATTTTTTTAATGATTGGATATATATATCAGGGCAGCCATCTTGGGAAAACACTAGTAAAATACACAAAATTTCAAATGTGCCTGTCAGCTCCTAAAACATTGTTAAAGCCTGCTTGAATATAATCTCTTCATTTCAACCTTAATGCTAATCTCAACACTTCAAACCTTCCTCCCAGCCAGGATAGATATGTATGCCTGTTTAGAATAACACGATGAAGTGATTTCTGATTCATGTAAACAAATACATTTGTTATTCTTTAAAAATGCCAGAGTGCTTTGAGGGAAGCAGGGTTTGTTTCTGGAATCTCTGTAGTTCCTGTCTCCTTCCTTTTCAGCAGGCAAATCCTAGCAGTGCCTGTTGGTGTATGTAGGTATGTTACCCTATCCAACTGACACATTGCTTCAAAACTTGGTCATTAGTGAGAAAAGAATAGAGATTAATAAGGCAGAAATCTGACTGTATGAAAACCTGTCGCTGCTGACTAGTGTTCTCCTTCATTTAGAGAGAGCCTTTCTTTTTCTCAGCACCTTGATTCACCTTTATTTCTCCATATCCAGTATGTTTTATCACAAGGAGAGTTGATTATATTATTATAGTTTCCTAACTACAAAAGCAAACAGTACTCCAGTCAAGAAACTACAAACTCAGATAAACTAACAGTAAACAACAGCCCAATCAAGAAACCACCAAGTCCACTCCCACGAACAGTGACAGGGCAAGCCGCTAGTATATAAAATGAGAGCAAACCCCACTCCCTTACTTGCATTGATGATGTTACTTAGTTGATAATGAAACATCTGCAAGAAACAATCAAGCTCAGAAAGCACCAAGGACCAAAATTTGTGTAGTTCAGTGTTTCTCAACTTTGGCAACTTTAAGATAGCTGGACTTCAATGCCAAGAATTCCCCAGACAGCATATTGTTTGGGGAATTCTGGGAGTTGAAGTCCAGACATCTTAAAGCTGCAAAGGTTGAGAAACACAGACGTAGCCTGAGACTGCAAATGCTGAGTAACACAGGATGCTACCACTCTTCACCCTGGTACTCTTGGCTGGGGATGCTCTGGTGAGTCTGAGGATGCTGTAGAAACCTTGCACCAGGCAGTCAAATAACTGATGAGTGAGCTCTTGTTGTGAGGCATAAGACATTCCTCCTGCCCGCCCAGGCATGTTTTGCCGACTCAGGTTTGGGAGGAGGTGGGAGAAATCTAGGCTCTCAGATTCTTCCAGCAAAGCATGTTCCTCTGTGATTCCCAAGGAGAGAAGATATTAAACTCTTGGAAACGTTCCAAGCTGAAGCACCCCAAGGGTGCTTGAAGGATAGTTCAAGCTTGTATGCTGCTGCTGCTGCCAGAGTTTTTTCTCAGGGAGCGGATGGGGGTCATTATTCTCCCCCCCTTTGTCTTCACGATATACTCTCCCATCCATCCATCCTGCATTAAAAGAAAGAAAATGTTTTAGGTGTGGGAGTACATTTTTCATTTTTCCTTCTGATTTGTCCTGATTTCTATTAGATCAAATAAGAACGAAGTTGACACTTGGAAGAGTTCCCAGTGAGCGCTGCAGCCTTGATGAGCAAGCCTTGGAACATGACAGTAATGCTTGCCTTATATAGACAACGCACCGCCTGTGGGAAATGGAGGAGGCAAAGGAAGGGCTTTGTGTTCAGAGGAAACCTTTCCTGCTTACTGTACAGGGAGGGGGTTTTAATCAGCTTATGTTGTAAGGAGATAGGGGATAGCCATGTCTAAGAGAAGATATCTCTTCCTTAATATTAGGAGAGATTCTAGGCATTGCCATTTACTATCTTTATTTGCCACCCACCCAGCAGCTTGCTAAGGTGAGGAATCTGTGGTCCTCCAATCGTCGTTTGAACAAAAGCTCTTACCATTACCATGGTAAATAGGGGTACTGGGGTTCAGGAATGTCAGGAACCTCCCAACTCTGGCCAGTTGTCTTAGCCATAGAAGCAGAACACTTTTTTTCCTGTTTCCTATCTCTTTAGAATAGCATTTGTATCAGATATTTCCCTTCTAATTATAGGAGTGCAGAACATTATTAAGGACGGTTCTCTGATTTTAGGACTAGTTTAGCAGTCAGAATAGAGCTGGAAGGGACTTTGGAGGTCTTCTAGTCCAACCCACGGCTCAAGCAGGAGACCGTATACAATTTGAGACAAGTGGCTATCCAATCTCTTCTTAAAAATCTCCAGTGATGAAGTACCCACAACTTCTGAAGGCAAGCTGTTCCACTGGTTAATTGCTCTCACTGTTAGCAAGTTTCTCCTTAGTTGCAGGTTGCTTCTCTCCTTGATTAGTTTCCATCCATTGTTTCTTGCCTTGCCTTCTGGTGCTTTGAAAAGTTGACCCCCTCTTCTTTGTGGCAGCCTCTCAAATATTGGAATACTGCTGTCATGTCACCCCTAGTCCTTCTTTTCTCTAGACTAGCCATACCCAGTTCCTGCAACCATTCTTCATATGTTTTAATCACCAGGACTTTAATCATCCTAGTTGCTTTTCTCTGCACTCAACGTCTCAACATCTTTTTGTAATATGGGGACCAAAATTGGATGCAGTATGCCAGGTGTGGCGTTACTAAGACTTCGTAAAGCGGTACTAATACTTCACCTGTTTTTGATTCTATGCCTCTGTTTATACAACCAAGGATTGTATTAGCTTTTTTGGCTGCTGCCGCACATTGCTAGCTCATATTTAAGTTATCGTCCACTAGGACTCCAAGGTCCCTCTCACAGTTACTGTTTTTGAGCCAGGTTTTGCCTAATCTATACTTGTATCTTTAGTTTTTCCTACCTAAATAAGTGTAAAACCTTGCTTTTCTCCACTTTAAATCTATAAATAAATAAATTTAATACATTTATTTATGTATAGGAAGTTGGTTGTCAGTAAAGACAGTGTTTGGATCGATCGATCGATCACACTTTCTCAACTATGGCAATTTCAAAATACATGGATTTCAACTTCCAGAATTTCCCAGCCTGCTGCTGGCTGGGGAATTCTGAGAGTTAAAGTCCACATATTTTCAAACTGTCGAGGTTGAGAAACAGTGCTGTAGAATTGGAGGTGCTGTTAAAGCCTATTTTGATAGGGGAGATAGGAAGTTGGCTTAAACTCGATAGATTTGAGGTATGCAAGGAAAAACACTCATACTGAATTAAATAGATTGAAGCATTAGGTCTTTACATAACTCTTCCATTTTCAGCTTTAGGAACACCTGCATTATTAGAGGCAAAATTTCCCCGAATTAGGGTTTTTAAAAATACTTCTTGTTGATAAATTTAACCCATGCATTTAAAAAACTGAATGGAACAAGGAGTTGGCAGATTTCCATTTTGCCTAAACAGTGGGAACATATTTACTGAAAATTTCAGTAGATCTTAGATCTTTCACCCTGATTAGGCCCCATTACAAAAGAACAGTGTTGTTGGAGATGCCATGAGAAAAATAGATTTTTGTACCATCCTAAAATTGCTGTGTTCTGACAAAGTATCACTCCGCATACTAAGTTGAGTGAGGCAGGTTGAGACAGGTTGAGATAGTTTGGTCATCAGTACTCTCTTGAACTATATACTTATTGCATGGACCTTTCTGATTGCTAAAAGTCTTGCCTTTTCACATTGGAAGGAATCATTTATGGCCCCAATTATTGAATGGATTGAAGACATGAATTGGAATTATGAAGTTGCATAGATACAGTAGTTCTAATGAAATATGATAATCATGTACTGTATATAATCATGTAAATGCATGTAGAAGTCCTTGAATATATATAATGCCATTTTGTTGTTTTCTTTTTTATTGTTTTCCTTCTCTATTCTGTTTAAATAAATAAATGCATGTAAAACCTGTTTTTTTTTAAGAAAAGAAAAGAAGTTAGTCTCCCATTTGTACTTGTCCAGGAGTAAATTTAGTGCCTAGGTATGTGGAAGCCTTATTTATCCAACTACTCCGGGTACTTAATAACACCTAAGCAAAATTGATGAGAATATAAAACTAGCCCATCCAAACACCATGTAAATTGGCTCCAAATATCTGAAGCTCTGGTGTATCAAGGCTATTGGAAATACAACTCAATAGAGAAGTACCTTGGCTTCTATTAACAGGCTTTCAATATGTTTTTGGACAAAGAAAACTTGTGGACATTTTCTGTAAAGAAGTGGGTGGGGAATGAAACTAGCTCTGAAGCAAATGGAAGAAGTTTAATAGTGCAGCAATTGGGCAATGTTGTTTGCATAAAATAGCAAAATTCTAAGATCTTGCTCTGCAGCATGCCACCATTCGCTCACCTTTTGGCACCACTCCTCTTCTGCATGCCTGATGTTACTTGTTTCTACTGTTTTGGGTAACTATTAAGTTAATATTTTCTAACCCCTTAGAAATGAGTGACATGGACTCATACAAGGTTCTTCTGGATGGACCAGCACCATGGGGGTTCAGACTGCAAGGTGGCAAGGACTTCAATATGCCACTCTCCATTTCCAGGGTAAGTAGTATCATCTGAAGTCTCGTTAACGGAAGTGTTGTATTCTTTATTCCTCTTCTCTCTACCATGCACACTCGAGGATATTGAGACATTGCGATTGCTGTGTTACTTCATCATTTTGGTTGCAAACATTTAAGTTAAAATGTTCACAGCAAATTGTGGGCTTGTGTTTCATTCGCCAAGCCAAGTGAGGCCCTTCCCTCAGGAAACTGCCAGTTTGGATTGCTCCCATGATGTAATGAGAAGGACCTCAGCATTTAGGCTGTTACTTGATATCAGGCTCTTGGAGCTCCCACACACTATTTTTGAATCTGTGGCAATAGCTCTTGCCATGTGGCTAGGTGGAGATAGCAGCACAGGAAGGGATTGTGGTAATATGAATACACACATGCCTGCAGTTCCAAATGTGTTGGCAAGATGTGTAATTTAGTTGATCCAGAGGGCAGCAGTTTCGGTTTGACACATTACTGGCAGCTGATGTTTGTTGGTACCTAATCAATCTTGTTTCTTTCCAGCTGTTAGGTTTGGGCTTTTTTTAGGTTCCCTTTTGCAAATTCAGGAGGTTTCCCACTTAGACAAAATAAGACTGAGTTTTGTAGCAGGATAAGAATAAGATGCACAGATCTTTTTGGAGATTACTCACTCTAAGCTCAGTCTCTGCATCTCCAAAATGAAATATATAGGAGCCGCCCTCACTTTCCCTGATCTTTTTTTTTTTGACACATTCTACAGGAAAGCCTAGAGATTAACTCTCCTGCTAGAGAGACTGTGGGCAGAAAAGCCACAAGACAGTACAAATAAGGTTTTAATAACTTGGCACTCTCTGGCATTTATTTTATTGGTTATTTATACTAATCCTTTCTGCTTATATAAGCTCCCAAGCAGATAGACTGGGACTCTAGCTCTCAATATTACCAATCATCATGGCAAACTTTTCTGAGCTGCAAATGGGATTTGAAATTACAAAGAACCATGTTTTGGGAATGTTCAATTCAAATACCGATACAGCTGTAATTTGGCAAAACAGCATTAAGCTGAATACTTTTTAAATGCCTCAGCTTCTCATGCCTTATGCAGGAATCACAACTGTCTCTTTATAAGGCCATAATGGATGCATGAAGGGCCAGATTGATATTGGGATTAAAAACCAGTCGATGATGAGTTCTAGTCCTGCTTTAGGCACAAAGCCAGCTGGGTGACTTTGGGCAAATCAGTCTCTCTGTGTACTGAGAAGAAAGCAAAGACCAACCTTTTCTGATAAATTTCACTAAGAAAACTAATGGGTTTGTCTCTGTACCTTCTGGGACTGACACCCCCCCAACCAAAACAAAACAAAATAAAACAAAAAAACAAACCCATGAAGACGTTTCAGCCACAAAGTGCCATGAACTCTATTGTTAAAATTAGTGAACAGCTGCCTCTTAGGACCCGCAGGCATTTTCTCAGTATTTCCTATTGTTCATTATTAAGTGTACCTTGGGCTTGCTTTCTGGGCTTGGAGGGCCATCTTTCTGTCGCCCAGTGTGGATCATTCTTGACCTGAAAGTGCCTCTCGGGGTTGATTTGGCTGCTTACAAAGCTGTCACTAGATGGCTTGCAGACAGTTTCCCCCCCTCTCCTTGGAATTGCCTTATAAGCCTAGGAATGCTGAATGCAGCCACTGCTGACGCCTGCAGCCCTTTGGCAAAGCAGAAGGTTTCTTTATGAGCTAGAAGCCCTCAGGGCTGGAGAAGGGCACCACGAAGTCTCCCAGAGCTAGGCACCTCCTCCCCGTGCAAACCCGCTCCTAAATTCTTTTTTTGTACGCCTCTCACCCTCCAGAGCACCACTCTCTTTCCAGTTAGGTTTGTCTGGGGCAGTCCTGTTTTTATTCTCTGCTTGGCCATCTCGGGGGTGGGGGGGGAATGAGATCTGCTTTCCTGCTAGGAGGTTTTCTGCTGAAACAGCCCCAGCTATTCCCACTCCCTCCCTCTCTCCTTTTGGAAAAAGATTTCTCTTGGCTCACAGCCAGCTATTAACAAAGCCCCAGCCTAGACAGGGTAGAGCCGTTCTGTGGCGAGACCCCAGCTAGTGCCTCCCACAAACATACCAGACAAGAATTGCAGCCCCTCTCCTTGGCCCTAACATGCCACAGCAGCCCATCCCTTTTGCAAGCGAGGTGGGCCCTTCCTTAGTGGTCAGGCCTTGGGAAAAGTTTCCTTCCTATGCTGTTGTGGCTCGCTGCATTTGCCAGCAGGCATCGCGGCTAAGAATAGTCAATATCCCTCCCTCCCTCCCTCCCTCCCTCCCTCCCTCCCTTCCTTCCTTCCTTCCTTCCTTCCTTCCCCTACTGTTGGGCAAAGGCAGATGGCTACCACTGACCTGTACTCTGGCAGAGCACTATTGTCTATTTTGGCAAGCTTCAGAGGGAATATGGTGCAAAGATTCATTGCTGATTCTGGCACTGTTACATATTTCCACTAGAGTTGCCTCATTTTACTTTTGTCCTTCCAAAATCGATGTGTTTATTTTTTCAGTATATGCTTTCCTCTTCTTGGTTAAAAAAATGTTAATTTCCTTTTTTGCTTAATAAATGCTGGGAAACTTCCGGAAGGAGATGGTCAGATATGTCGATTATGACGTATCAGGAATGATTAAGCTAGGATTTGTTTCTGTTAAAAATTAATAAGGCATTTAATGTGGTGGAAAAATGCTGAAGATGCCTTTCAGTCCAGCTGGATACTCTATGACTACATGGACCAGGTTGAGGAAAGGGGCAATAAAACTATTCAAAGACTGGAGGTGAAACTTGTTGCTTTCTAAAGGAAACTGAATTGCAATTCTCAGCCAGTGTGACTTTAGTGAGGACTTTGGGAGTTGTAATTCAGTAAAACCTTTGTTTCATAAAATTCAGAGGGTATGTGAGAACTTGGAGTTTTATGACACTAGGAACAAAATAACATGCTCCCTTGCCACTATTCTATACTGTTGTCTCTTTAAAAAAGGGGGGGGGGGCTTCATCCATGTGCAGGAGCCATGCTAATTGTCCCTATATCATAACAATTTTAGTATATGGGCTGCTGAAGCAAACACACTGCAGATTTACCTCTTGATTAGAGAGGCTGGAAAAAATTATCTTTAACCAGCTTCTGGGTCTAAAAGACCCCTGATCTTGATGGCTGTAGTACCCCAACTATGATATGAGTAAAAACATAGGGCAGAGGACATTGTGAAACATTGGTGGGTTCCAACCGGTGTTACCACCAGTTCTCTTCACGCACGCGCTTTGCGCACGATTGCCAGACTTGTGCTCTGCGCAAGCGCATTACGTTTCTGCCCAGCTGAGGCAATCCACTCTGCCGCGCCTATCAGCTGGGCTAAAAAAAAGAAATAAAGATAGGAATAACACGGGGGCAGCCGGGAGGGCCCAGCTCCCAGTCAAAGAGAACCGGTTCGGTGACGTCACATCATCACCACTACCGGCTCGCCTGAACCGGGCCGAACCGGGAGCAACCCACCACTGGTGTGAAACCGCTGGACACAAAATGCAGAAACTTATAGCATGGAAAATAAATAGTGGAGTGCAAATAGGTATTGCACTTGCATCTCCCATTCAAATATTAGTAAAAAATTTGTGAGATATTGAACATACCAGTGGTGGGTTTCTATCGGTTCGCCCCATTTCGGGCGAACTGGTAGTGGCAGTGGCGGGAGGCTCCACCCACCCGCCCGGACATCATCACGGACGCTCTGTGCACATGCGCGCTCCTGGTTTTGAACCGGTAGCGAAGGTAAGTGGAACCCACTACTGGAACATACCCTTAGTCACGTGTGCAGGAATGCCTGATTACCATATTTAGAGTTTTCAATAGATGTGATCACATAGAAGATTTTATAGTCTAAATCTAGAGAATAGCAGATGTATTATTCTAAAATAAAACAGAATGGCAACAGCTAAATTGTATATTATATAGACAGCAGGTGGATATCTAAAACCCCAAATGGCTATTCCAGGATATGGTTCATATATTGTTCAGCTTGATTGATTAATGGATGTCATCCTTTTGGTTTGGGAGAATATGAGTTTTAGCTTTCCTGAATCCTGAGCCGTGTTTTAATCCAGGACCCAAAATGTGAAGAGAAATTGACATTTTGCAGCTTCATACCACTGCCTATGATAATTTTATTACCCTGTAACATATATATATATATATATATATATATTTGTTTCTGGTTTGCTTTCTTACAAATGCTAGCTTGGAGGACACAATGCTTGTGCCTATGGTGGACAGGATATGGGCATTTGGAAGAGGAATTAAAGATGGAAATGTATGGAAAACTGTTCTATTTCTAGGTATAGGAGCCCTCTTTTGGGACTGCTTTCTAAGGTTATGGTTTCTGTAGTGCTTCTTAGGCAGAATGTCCTATTCCAAGATCAGGTGTTCATTCTGGGTTAGATATCTCTATCCTAACCAATGAAGTCTTTTTTCCAGACTGAATAGGTGTTTCCAAATCAGTGTAATGTGGGGAAGGAGTGCACGTACTTTTCACATGTTTTGTCCTTTGCACTCTTAAGAACAATCCTTGAAGATCAGAAAGTTGGTTCAAGTTTAATATGGGAATAATTATCTTTCAGATAATCCAGATCCAGTTCTTAGTAGTTACCCATAAATAACTAGGAAGGCAGTCAATTACTACTGTCTGAAAATGAAGTGAGTTCCCAGAAGACTGCTTTCCCTTTTGGAGTCGTGCTTCTAAGGAATTCTTGGCCCAGGATGACTGAAATGGATTTCTAGAACCCATCTGTTCTGAGATGGCTTTGTGGAAGAGCAGAGCTTGACTAGCATTTGGGGGGCTTTCTTCCCCTTAGTTCTCGGTTCCCCCTGTCCGTAGCTAGTGGTTAATGGCACAAGGATGAGAAAGAGTAGCTTAATTAAGGCCACTTTAGTGAATGCAACATCAGGGTGGATAAAAATCGATGATTTAAAAGAAAACAATGGATTTTTTTATTTAAATTGGAT